GCTTAGTAGCGGAACCGGCCCGTGGGGCGAGGGTGGGAGACGGGAGGGGCACTGCTTGTGAGGGGCTGCTGCTGCCTCATCCTACCTGTAGCCTGTGCTAAGCTTTTCTCATCCTCCCGTCATCCTTGCACGTACCTGCAGCAGTGGTTTAGCTTGCCGGTGCTAGTCAGTAGCTTTGCAAAAACATGTATAAAAGGGTTCATGGTGTAATAAACTATAGAATCTATCCGGAACAGATGTGAGGTATACAAGACAGTCAAATGTTCAAAAGTCTAACCAGATCTTTGCCCCTGGTGTCACTGCCATCCTGACTTTTTTTTTTTCTCCTGATCTGTTGTGCAACCTTTCCAACATGTAAGCCTTCTCTTGCTGATGTAACCAGCGTATCCTTTCTTGTTTCCCATAAGCAAGGCTTTCCCAGGGGTGACCAGCCTTAGAGTTCAGGACGTGTCCAAGCTAAACAACCCTTCCTTCTTCCCACCACTTTTCCTTTACTTATATGGGGAAAAAACTACTGCAACTTCTTGAGCTTTAAGTGATAGGAAGAGGCAGAGAGGAAAGGGCAATTCCTGTTTCGTTAAATCTGGCTGTTGCAGTGCCAGTTTCTTAAAAGCATGACCACCTCTCTCCCTGAGAAATCCACTACTTCTGTGGTGGTGGATATTGTTGGTCCTACTGGTTATCACCCTCTCAGTCCTGGGAGGAAAGTACAGATGGTGGGAAAAGGGTGATTGGTAGCATACATCTACCTCCCTGCAAAACTGAAGTAACCAGCAATGGATGTCTTTGTGGGCAGTTCTCTCTCCTTGCTCTCTTAGTTAGCCTGGTGACTGCCTTGGCTTTCCACAACATCACAGTAAATTTTTAGCTTTCCAACAAACACCATCATGCCAGCAGCTAGAAGGGAAGGAAATGATTAGACTAACTTGTGTTAGTCTAACCTGTCGTGTTCAGTTTCTGGAAGGGGCATGTAGTAATTCCTCTCTTCCTTGCCGTAGTTCCCTGGAAAGGGGACAGGAAGGTTTACAGCTGCAACGGCACCTGGCTAAAAGGCAGGGTACAAGTTATGCCCAGGCCTTGCACAGGCTGCAGAACTTGGGGACTGCAGGGTTTCCAAGTACTTCACATGCAACATCAAGGCAAGAACTTTGAACTTTTTTTTTCATGAGTGAAGGGATCCAAACTTGGTCTCCATCAGTTATAGCAACAGAAAGGAAAGCAGCCCCTTGACAAAAGAGCTCTGCTGCTGTGACTAATAAGTGAATCAATATTAATGGTTATACCCATATTGATATATTTCCTACTATGTAGGCCCTGATGTGTGGACAGGGAGAACAGTTCCTTCCCTTTGCTGTTGACATGTCCTCCCTTTCAGGTGCTCCCATCCTGAGCTACAGAGGCAGCTTATCTGCTTGAACCAGAATGCTTTATAACTTTGTGATTATAATAGATACCATATTTAATTTTCCTTAATGCACCAGTTTGTACCATGTTTTTCCTTACTGTGGGATGTCCCAGATATCCCCCCTGTGGGCAGGGGAACTCCTACTGTTCTTCAGGCTAAATGATGCCTGCAGACAACCCCAAATTTCTCTTCCTATTTGTAGTCGTGAAGTGTCTTGATACTGGCGTGACTGAAACATGATAAGCAACATGTGTAATTGCTATTTTAATCACATTGGTATCTCTGAAACAAACTTGTGCCAGCAAACAAGGTGCATGTGACTGGCCTTCATTTTCATAAGCACAACTGTTTTTCTTCCTGTGGTTCTCCATACACGTTCATCAATAGGTTTTCTCTGCTGGCTTTGTGGGGGTGTGAGGGGAGGTAAGCACGTTACAGCTGGAGGAGGGGAGCTTGAGTCTCTCTAGCTTAAGTGGTAGCAGCTTGCGTTTGTAGTCCCTGCTGTGTTGAGCAAGATGCCCATCACAGATGGGCTTGATTCTTACCTCATTAGATGTTCTTTGAGCTAGCATCACTTCAAGAACATATATGTCTCCTTCTGTGAGGCTATGTGTATTCTTCTAAATTTGTGGGTTTCCGTGCCTTTGGGGACTACTGGATGTCTTCCAGTGCGGATGTCCATCCTTTTGGAAACTTGGCACATGTAAGGATTGGTGTGGTGTGCATGAACTTGTTTTTCCAAGACACTTTCTGCAGAAACCTTTGCTTGCATGTCTCCTTCCCTGCATGTTTTTGTGTTCTTTGTCTCAACAGATGGGAACTGCTCAAAACAACAGTGACCTCAAAAAACTCCATGCAGTGGAGCTTGACCTGTGTAACAAGGACATGATGGCAGACGCATTCGATCACAGTATTATTTCTGTTGGGGAAGAGGAAGGAGCGGGCAATTTCCAACGTTCTGTTCCAACACGAGAGTCACTCCGGTCCCCTCGGGGCTCTGTTGTGAGTTTCCATAACATCCAGTACTCTGTTAAGCAGTCCAGTGGATTCCTATGTAAATGGAAAACTGTGGAAAAGAAGATCCTTCATAATGTCTAGTAAGTTCTTGCTTAAATAAAATACCAGAGGGTAGTAATTAATCTGCTGCTGTGAATTGATGACCTCAGGGGCACCTTCCAGATCCAGCTGTGCTGGTAGAGAAATGACTACCCTCCTGCCAGTCTGCAGTTCATGTGAGCGCTTTCTAATCTGCTTTTAGGCAAAATAGCCAGGATATAGCTGGAGCAGTTTCAGTTATTGATTTGAGCAAATTAGGACCAAACTTGTCTGAACTCTTCTGCCAGAAGATCTGAGGGTTCCCTTAACTGTGGTTCAAGCTGCAGTGGGAGGAAATAGGCAGCAGAGAGCAGTTGCTTATTCTTTTCAAGACCCAGCTCAGCAGGGAAGACACTTAATTTCTGTCTTTTGTAGATTGCTTTTTATGTCCAGCTCTGGTTCTGTTCTGACTGGCAGTCTGGGACAAGAAAGGAAAAATGCTTATTGATTTCAGATTTAAGGAGAAGTTTTTAATAATCTCTCAGTTTTCCTTTCAACAGCATTTTGTTCACACCTTACCTCTACTATGAGCTGCATGTGAACAGTCCTCCATTTGGAAATAACTCTTTCCTTCTTCCAGTGGCATTATGAAGCCAGGCTTGAATGCTATCCTGGGGCCAACAGGGAGCGGTAAATCTTCGTGAGTACTTTCTTCTGCTCCTTCAAATGGACAGTCAGCTGTGCAAAGAGGATTTGGGACGCTGAGGGTTGGGGAAGATGTGAGGAATGTGCAGGCTCAGACCTTTGAATGCCTGTGAGAAATCTGGTGATGCAGTCTGACCTCGTGGCCCTCTGCTGTCAGCTTTGCTGGAGCTCTTGCCCTGCAGCGGTGTCACACTCCTCATCTGCTCCAATTGGTGGTCCATATTACTGCAGTCACCTTTGGTGGTGGCCTGAGTTAAGAATACCAAGCTGAACTGGGGTGACTGGAGCTCAGGTGTAGGCTCTGTCCTAGACCTGTCACGAGGTCGGGAGGGGGGGCAAGCTCCTTTGAGGGCAGGAGGGATGTTGTCCCCTGTGAAGGTGCTGCAGCAAGACTTCCTTGAAGATGCTAGGCCAAACCCCTCTCTGACAACTACAGGAATACGGTGTAATGTCAGGCTGTAGGATGCTTTGGATCCTCAGCTCGACTTGGCTGTGGCCTGGTGGTGGGGGTGCACATGGGCTTGAGTTCTTTGGATGCAAGCACAGAGAAATACCATGCAGACTGTCTCCAGCCAGTGCTGATGCTGATTACTCTCCCGTATAACCATGGTAAGAGAGCTCTTTGTCACTCTCTGCCTTTGAGAATGTCAGAGACTGGCAAATACGGCCATTGTTCACACAGGTGTGTCTTTGTGGTGACCCTTGATCTTCCCCTCTGAGGAGACTGCTGGCTAATCAGCATGTTTTCAAGAGCAGCACTTCATCAGGGCAGTGTTTACTTAGCTAGCAGACAGGCTGGCCTCTGCATTGGCAGTAAGGAGAATCCAGTGATATGTTAAAACAAAATTACTTTATAGAATTAATCCTAACTCTAGTCTTGTTTATACCCATTTGGATTAATTTCCTTGAGATCAAAGTAATTACTTCTGTGCTCCGCTGGCTGGAGAGCAGACTGCAGCTACTTGGCGGGGTGGTTTTGTCTGTGTGCATTTGAGGTTAGCTCTTAATACAGAGACTGATTTTATGTCTGTAGGGGTTGACTGCTGTGAATTGTGAGGTTCTGTATACTACCATACTGCTGTGGCACACCTTGTGCTGGAAAATCCTGTGTCTACACCAGGCTTTCTGTACAAAGAGCTAAAGCCCCCAGAGTTGAGCAAGCCCATTTCTGTGCCCTTTGGTTTGCAGCATCCCATGAGCAGGCTGTAACTGCAGTCCTGCCTGGTGGTACTTATCCAGTCAAAGGTAAGAGCAGCTGTTATGGTAAAACCTAATGCCTGGTGTTTGTCTGAAGTCTCCTAGATGTGCTGGCAGCCAGAAAGGACCCAGCAGGCCTGTCTGGAGAAGTGCTTATAGATGGCATCCCACAACCTCCGAATTTCAAGTGCATCTCAGGATATGTTGTGCAGGTGAGTAACTGCCTTCAGTGGAGGCCTGGGAGCCCTTCGGAGGGAAGACCGCCTAAGATGAGCAAAGCATGAACTACTAGGTTAGGTAATTTTCAGTGATCCCTGCAGAGTTTAATTTGATAACTCAGATGTTACAGTATTTAGTATTTTTCTGGGATATGGAAGACAAGAGGATCAAACTGTTACTCCAGCCAAGTCAAGCACAGAGGTGTTTGTCTTCCCAAAGCCACATGGATGCTCAAACCACTGGGCTACTGTGGCTTGTTCTTTGGGCTCTGCCCTGAAGTACTAGCAAGGGTTTAAAAAAAAAAAGTGAGGAAAAACCCACAACACCCAAAATCTCTTGTTGTAAAACTCAGAGGCAGTTCTAGCTGGCAGAAGTACTTTCAAGCTATCAGGCAATAATTCTAGGAAGTAAATAGACCCCTGCTATTCTTCCTCTGATTCTGGCTGGCTGGGACAGAGCTTCGTTCCACTCAGAGACAGGAAAAGCCAGCTGAATCTGCGGAAGTGGGTGGAGGCCTGGACCAATAAATAGACCCTCAAAGCCCTGGGGGAGCAGAGGAGAAGGGGATTCTTGGCAGCAATATGAGCAGCCAAATCTGGAAACCATCCAGGCTTCTGACTGCAGGCAGATGTGAAATAGGCAGCTTTTCTGAAAGCTGCCAGCTGGGGGGCTCTGGGAGGATGCATCTGATGAGACTGATGCTGAGTCTTGATCCTGCAGGTCAAAGATCCCCAAATCCTCAGTGTTTCATGAATGGCCAGGAAGTTTCTTGCAAGTGGTGCCATTTTGAGATATCTGTCTCTCAAATGTCCAAAGCAACCAAACTTAACCTTAAAATGACAGGCAACTAGGTGAGACATTAGTCTCTCTCCCCTCCCACCCCTGTGCAGTACTCCCTAGATCAATAACGATGGCCCAAAGACTACAAACAACACTTAAGGCCTAAATACATAAATACATACCTACTTGTAGGGTCAGTTTTATGCAGATTGAGCATATAGACATGCTAAGTCATATGTTATCCCTATAAAACTGCTGGTGGCCTCTCCACTCATGGCTTGCAAGTGAGGGTGTCATGCCACAGTTTGTTACATTTGGTATTAAGGTAGCTTAAATTCACAGTTTAGTTTCCAATCAGATGACCCAACAGTTGTATTGGTGGATCTGAGGATGGGGAATGGGAGGCTAGGATGAGAGACTGAGGGTGTGTGGGAAGGGAAGTGATGGTAGGAAATTCCTAAACCACCTCTGGCAGCAAAGCCAGTTTATCGTAACAATACACCCTGAGTAATCTGTCATATAATTCTAGCACAGCAGCACCTTCAGTCTTTCTCTGTTAACTCCAGTGCCAAATATGGCTGGCTGGCACATCCTTTGTGCCGCTGATCAACTACATCTGATGTGGAAGGATTCTTGCCAAAGCAGGCAAGAATCTGCTGCCCTGCAGCTTAGAGGCTGTGTCTTCCAAAAGGGCACTAGATTTGAAAGGTGCCTAATTAACAGGCATGTTTCTCAGCAGCTGCCCAGTGTTGCAGCCCTTCTCCCATCATATGGTGGGATGCAGAATTAGCTCGAATATCAAAGCAGGGGTGATGGAGAGGCATGGAGCTCTGGATGGACCTGATGTCAACTCTGTTTGGCTCATGGTTGTTAGAGGTTGGTGCAGGCTGCCCAGATGTTTGTCAACTGGATAGATGTGATTCTTACTCAAAATGCACATGACTGTTGGAAGCTTTTCTAAAGGGGTAGCCCTTAGAATAAGGTCTTGTGCCCAAGAGTTATAGATAGTCGAGACATGGAAAAAATCAGGAGCATCTTGGTGCAATACTCTTGTTTCTCTGAGGAGCTGCTGCCAGTGAGGAGCTGGGGAGAGCTCCTTGTTGGCAGCTGAACTTGGCAGGTGCTCTGGACCACAGCAAGATATGGCTTGCAACCAGGAACAGAGCTGACTTGGGTGATCCCCTGAGTGTCTTTACCTTGAACATTGAGCACTAGCAATGTCCATTGGCTTCAGCTAGACTCGTAGAAGTTTAACTCTTTACAAAACCAGCTACCTGCTCTGCCTCCCTTTGGCTGGTAAGGAAAATGCACATGCAGTACAAAATGGTACTGTCTGCACTTGAACTCCTGAGCCTGAAAGCAGGCAGAGGTGGTGCTTGGTGTAAGCTGGGAGCCTGCAGAGCTGCATTCTCCCCTTGAATGCTACTGAGTGACCTTGAATTTCATGTCATGTAAGTTTTGAAGCAGGGGTTGTCCCTCAGTCCAGTTTCCACTGTGGTCCACAAACAGCTTATTCAGCAACTGCCACTACAGGGACTCTGGAGCCAAGCCAGGTAGAGAAGGAGGCTTTCCAACTGTCCATATGTACTGCTTTCAGGATGATGTTGTCATGGGCACAATGACGGTGAGGGAGAACCTGCACTTCTCTGCTGCCCTGCGACTCCCCAGCTCCATCAGCGTTAACGAGAAGGAAGAGCGAGTCACCCAGATAATCAGTGAGCTGGGATTAAGCAAAGTGGCTGATGCTAAGGTGAGTAGCGAGAATAACTTTCTCAGAAATCATGCTACCTCTGGAAACTGAACTACTTGACTCTGCGCAGTATGGCGTACATAGTGCAACTACTTAAGCTAAGCAGGAACCTGACTAAACCATACTGCAGACAAGAAATCAGTCTCCAGCTCAGGAGGTAGCTTGGAAAGAGGTATGTATATTTGCTACTAAAAGGGGAAGACTTTTGGACCATGTCCAACATGTTGTATAAGTTCAGAGGGGAAAAAGTCGCCTAGTCATAGCAGCTTGGAAAGCTGCTCAGTCACTTCCTGGCTTTGTGGGACAAGACAGGGAATTGTTTTTACCGTGCTGAAAGCTGTGAGGGATAGAAAGCTCGGCTGTGACAGAGAAGTTCTGTGTAGAGCTTGTTCCTTCCAGCAGCATTTTTACTCTTATTTTGCTTTTACTTTGCTTACCCCACTCTTGAGCAGCAAGTGAGCTACCAACAAAAGGCATCCCTGAACACCAATGCCGCCTCTGACTGCTGTGGCATCATTCTGGCTCTTCCTTGTCAGTGTCATCCTTGTTCCCTGAAGTCATAAGATGCTTGGTACCTCTGAAAATCAGGCTCTGCTTACTGCTACGCAGTCCCTCACACTGAGTCAGACCCATCATGTGCTGCTGGCCTTAGAGTTTACTAATGGGACTCTGAAAATGAAAAGGGCTGCTGGGCGTGGAGAGCCCTGAACTCCAGAGCATGCACTGACCAGGTCTTGTTGCAAATACTTGATTTCTTCTGCTTGTAGGTAGGAACTGAATTGATTCGGGGAGTGTCTGGAGGGGAACGGAAGAGAACCAACATTGGGATGGAGCTCATCACAGAGCCACCAGTCCTTTTTCTGGATGAGCCAACAACTGGCCTTGATGCCAGCACAGCCAATGCAGTCCTCATTCTCTTGAAGAAGTAAGTCAGTTCTTCAGGGATCTGCTGCAATTTTGTTGTCAGCTCATTAGTAAAAAAGGAATGCTTTTATGACTGAGTGGCTAAAAAGGATTTTTTTTTTAAAAAAAAAAAAAAAGCTAGACAAGGAGACTCAGAAGTGGTAGTAAATTCTTTATTTGGGTCTTGTCCAAAGCCATTTGAGGTTGATGGGAATCTTTCCACAGCAAGCATTGGACTGGAGCCCAAAAAGCAGATGTAGCTTGGACAGCTTCCCTTTGCCACAGAGAGGGGTGGACTGGGAGGTCAGGCCTTGTAATCATAATTTCTTGGCCCTCCAGCTGAGTCTGTTACAAAGTTTCTTCTCCCATTCTCGCAATGGCCTTGAACTCAGACCAGACTTCACCTGCAGATTTACCCTCAGTGCCCCCGCTGTTTTGGAGATGAACTGTCTTCTGGTACAAAGAGGACCAAACAAGGCTTATTTAATGAGAATGAGTTCCTAACCCTCCTCCTGGGTTTGTAGCATGTTGTCTGGTTTGTCTTGGGGGTACATTTTGCTCTGCTGTTTGTGGATAGAGGTCTTTGATCAGCAAGGATACTTGTTGGGCATCAGTGCTAAAGCACTTGAAAGAGCGTCTGGCAAACCTGAAGGAAAACTAGTTTTGACTTTTCTAGACAGTAAACCTTCAGCAGAAGAGCTAGGAGAAATCTCAGCTGACCAGACTACCACAGCCTGTTACGTAAAGCCTGGTACTGCCATTGAGTGCAGTAGGACCATTCTGGTTAGTCAGGTTGAAGTCTGGTATAGAAAATGTGTAAGTAGGGTTTATACACAGCTGTGGCCTCAACCTTTGCTAGCTACAGACAGCATTGTACTTTGTCTACCTGGACTGCAATGACAGTCTGTTGTAATGATGGGTGCTGTCTTGAAGGTCTTGTAGCCAGCATCCAACACAGTGACAGAGAAGGGGGAACTAGAGCTTTTCTGGGTCGAGACCCTGAGAAGTTGACAAGTATTTGTCTTGGATTTGGATATGTATTTTTGCTTGTGTTAACATGACCTTTCTGAAATGCAAAGTGTGGTATATTTGAGAGATGTTTGGTTTCTATTTCAGGCTCTCAAGAAGAGGGCGAACCATCATATTTTCCATCCATCAGCCCCGCTATTCCATATTCAAGCTGTTTGACAGTCTGACATTACTAGCTTTGGGAAAGGTGCTGTACCATGGTCCTGCAAAGCAGGCCCTGGAGTACTTTAGTTCTATTGGTAAGTCTTCTGTGCCAAGAGCAAAGGCAACTGGCTAATGAGTTTAATCTGTGGGTAGATTCTCACCCTAGTACTGGGTAACAGTCCTGTGCTGTTTTATCACTAGGATACTAGAGGCTGTACACATACAGTCTGAACAGTGTTATGTTAGAACAGGAAAAAAAAAAAAAACGATAAAACTGAATTTTTGCAGACAACACAGAGCATAGCTCTCTCCTGCCTTTGTTTTGCCTTGCATCAGGACAAAAACCCAGAATTGCTTGGACATTTAGAAGTATGGCACACAACAGAGAAGATGATGCTTGTAGTTCTGCCAGGCCTAGGCGGCAGACCCAGCGGGTTTTGAACCACAGCCTGCAGATTCGCAGGAATCTGTAGGGGCTGATCCAAGAATCTGCTCTAGTCTGAATGCAGGTGGGTTACCGAGAGGACAAAATCATGGTGTGTCTTAAGATGGGTTAATAATTGGTGGCTGCCCCTTCTCCAAGTAAGCAAGGTGAGGGTTTCTGACTATAATGGACAGAGAACATGGAGTGAATTTCCAATCTAGTCTAGATGCAGCCATGGACACATTGGATTGTAAGCTTTCCCTAGCTTTAAGGGAGATGCTTTAACCAATCTCACTACTTTTACTCCTCCTCTTAGTACCTCACCTCACTTCCGTTCTCACAGGAATGCTATAGAATAAGGATCCTTGCTTTTTGGTTTTTTTATTTCCTCCTTGTCCCATAGCTTGAACCATATTATAAGAAGCCACTCTTGGACAGCCCCTCCTCTTCCTTGTGACCAAGGAAACACAAGCAAGAGTTGAGCTTCTGGAGCAAGCATCTAAGGCTGTAGAGCAGACATCCAGCAACCTCTACTGAGGAACTGTGTGTCTTTCAGAGTGGGATGTGGTTGAAATAGCACTGGGAAGGAGGCAAGAGTTGTCCATGCTGAGCTGTGTAGAAGCAAGTTACAGATTTCTTCTCACCTGGAATCAGGGGAGAATAAGCAACTTCGAAGCTCTGTATAGATACCTCAGATTCACCATCTCCTAAATCCTGTCCATTGTACTGCTATAAACTAAGGCTCATGGGCAGCAGTGAAGTTTTCTTGCAACAGGGTTGTGGAAGAGTGATATAGTATTAGACCTGACTTTCCAAGCTGTGCTCTGTGCAATACGAACATGTTGCGTGTGTGGGTTTTTTTTGTTTTTTTTTTTAAGGATATGAATGTGAACCCTTCAATAATCCAGCTGACTTCTTCCTTGATATCATAAATGGTGATTCAACGGCTGTGGCAGCAAGCAAGGAAGATCACGGACCTCTGGACACAGGAAAAGGTAAATTGTGCAGGAGAAATCCGCTGTTGGCTGGTGTAGAAGGGAAGTTGTATGTGGTGATGGCAAACTTTTATTCTCTGGGTTTCCTCCAGTCTAAGGGCACTTCATTATCTTTTTATTTTTCCTACTAATAGATATACTTTGCTTTGGGCTTCTTTAAAGAGCTCAGAAAACTTTTAAAGGTATTTTTTTCTTCCTTCAGTAAGATAGGAGAGCAGCGATAAATATCAGTAATTTACAAAACCTATGTGGGAAAGACTGAAAAAACAGAATTCCTTGGTCTCAGGAGACAGCTGAGAGAAGACAGAAGTTTTCAGTCACATATGAGGCTGCTGCAGAGAAGACAGGGTAGATAGGCTAAGGAGTAATGGATTTACAGGGCAGTGAGAAAGACTGGAACTAGATTAGAGAACAAACTTTCTAACAATATAGTGAGTGAAATATTGGGAAATCTTTGGGGATGCTGTAGCATATCCACGACTGAAGGATTATAAGGGAACAGTTTTCCTAATGGTGCTTTTTGGGGATGGGGAAATGGATCAGAGTAAACATTGATTTCCCCCAAATTCAGTGAAACAAAGGTTTTCTGGTGCCTCATTCTAAGAATATGGCTGGTTTTGTGCTACAAAGAACAGGCAGATTAGCTAGGTTTGATTAAAACTGTAAGGAAACCCTCTCACTCAAGCTAGCCTCTTAAGCTCAGAGCTAAGGCTTGAACAATTAAAATTCTCTGGGCATTCTTGGTTTTTTTTATTCAGTCTCCAAAGTGGCTGAGCATGTTGATGGGCCATGTCTGAAGGTAGGGTTCATGGGGAATCACAAGCCATATCTTGTCTTTCTCACTCAGAGGTGAGCAGTGAAAATGGAGTGGCAGAAGATAACGTGGACAGCAGTGTGGTAGATGTGCTGCACCAGAAATATCTTAACTCCAGCCTGTATCAGAGCACAAAGGAAGCACTGGGGAAAGTGGAGCTTGGAAGAGGAAGCAGGCAGAGAGTATCCAAGCAGGGACATAAGATTACCTATGCAAATGGATTCCTCACCCAGCTGTACTGGGTGTCCAAGCGATCCCTGAAAAACCTCATCAGGAACCCACAGGCCTCCGTTGCACAAGTAGGTAACAATTGCTGAAAGTCTCAGACTCCCTCTGCTCTCAGTCCTGCAATCTGCAGTTTGTAGGACAGACTTTTGTTTTCAAAGGCAGCTAGGGAAACAGCAAAGTCCTGTGCCGCTGCCACTTAAGTGGAATGAGATGCCCAGCTACCTTTGTTGTCTTTGAAAAAAAGTCTCCATTTTAGTTTAGTACAAGGACTACTGCACTGAAGGTTGGGGAGCGGGGCGAAATGCTCCATTCTCTGGTTCACATGGGGAGCTTTTAGGGTGATGTTAATTTTGTGCCTCACTTGAAATTTTAAGCTGGGGTATTCTTTGAGTGTGCTTTTACTAACCTTTCCCAGCCAAAGAAGATCAGAGGAAGGAGAAAAGTGAAGAGGATAAACTTGGAAAATTTTCCATAAGGCTTTTAATTGTGTGCGTCATAGGTATACATTGACTCACAACAGCAAAGTTGTAGGCAGGTGTGAATCTTAAACCCTGCATATGCCTTAATAATAAGTTTGTCCCTATTTACTTATCTGAAAGACTGCCTTCTCCCTTTCTTCTTTCCACTTCTAGATTGCAGTGACTGTAATTCTAGCCTTGGTTGTGGGTGCTATCTTTTTCGGTGTAAAATTGGATCAAAGTGGCATTCAGAATCGGTAAGTTGGAAAGCCACAGCTTTGCTCACTTTTGTATCTGTAGCAGACAGGTTTCAGCCACAGGGAAGGCCTTGGGATCTACTTGGACCACAAAGGAGGGTTGGGTTCCCAAGGCTCAATGCACTGCAGCATGGTATTGCCAGAGGTCCTAAAGGGAATGCAGTTCTGTCGGGCTCACACATATGTACAAAGGAGATGTGAAAGTGAAGATAAAGGAATAAACCTGGTTTTAGAGCCAAGATCTACAGTGGCACAATGAAATATCTCCATTCTGTGAACAGAGACAGAAAAGCACTGACTTGATGGTATGATGATGTCTGAGGCTGCCAGTGTTAATCTAGGCTGTTTCCTCACTTTTTGACTGTTCTGTTTTGCCTTCTAGGGTTGGATCCTTGTTTTTTGTCACCACAAACCAGTGTTTTTCCAGTGTCTCTGCAATTGAGCTGTTCATCAGAGACAAGAAACTATTTATGTAAGTAGTGAGGCACTTAGACTGTCTCATACCCTGGAGTGAGGTGGAGGGGAGTATCTTACAGGCTAAACAAAATGGTTTCCACCACAGACTTGATTGCTTCCTTGCAATATCGGATTGTAATAGTAATGCTAAACTGGTCTGTGGAGCAGGGAGCTGAAATGCCAAGAGGTAGGGGAAGGAGGGGAGAAAGAAAATGCTTTCACATGCTTGCTGTGTCACAGTTTATTGAGAAGTGCTTTTCCTAGTCACTTTTGGTAACAGCTGTTTTTGAAGTCTGCGTGTGAATCCTGCAGACTGTGAACCCTGCCTGCCCTCTTGCTGACAGGGTTGAAACGCTGTCTTGCCATGGTCCTAAAGTGGTAAGACTGTGCAAAGATGAAGGGAGAGTTCTTGGAAAAGCTTTGCAAGGGATGCTCAGATGAAGGGGGCTGCTGGCTGACTTATAAGACCTCCCTAATAATCAAGCGCATCTCTCTATTTATCTATATATGTGTATATGTATATATTATATACACACATGTATATATACATACACATTGAAAATGTAGTTTGGAATAGCCTCCAGCTCCTGGGATGAAAGGGCAAGAGACAGATCCTATGCAGTAAAGAAGAAATTGGAATTTATGCCTGGAATGCACGTGTCCACCCACAGGTTGCTCAGAGCAGCTCCATATTGCCCCTAACAGCTGCTCAGGAGTGAATCTCCCCCACACTGACATCTCTTGCCAGTCTGCCATGCTTACCAGCTTAGTTTACCAGCTGTGTCAATGGGCATTTTGGCACCTCACCAATTAAAGCATCTTTTCATGAGCTCTATTAAGCAGCAAAACAATCATAATGGCATTTAATTGCCCTGTGAACTGGAGGTGAGTTGATGTCCTAAGGGTGTTTTCCTATTGCTGGGTATCATTCCTTCTGCCCTGGAAGGAGCTGTATGAGTTAGGTGTGGATGAAGTGTTTCTGCAGTTAATAGCAGTCTAATACTTTCCCATGCTCTTGTGTTAAGGATCATTCTCTTTTAAAAGAGATTTAGGAGCTTTTTTCCAGTATGTTACTTAGTAGTCACATAGCCTTTCATTCACTTTCCTCGGAGAGCTCTCAGTATGACTGCAGGGCCTGTGAGATAGGTCAGCCCTTACTTGACAGAGTGGGAAGTGAAAGCACAGAGAAAATAAGCAACTTGCATATAGAGGAGGAGTCAGTGGCGGAGAGAACAGAAACCGATTCAGGATAAACCAGACACGCACGCTGAGCCTGCTTCCTAGATAACCTCTAAACCTGTACAACTCCCCTCCTTCCTGTCCTCGCAGCCATCAGTACACCAGTGGATATTACCGTGTGTCTGCCTACTTCCTGGCCTTGATGATAGGAGATCTGCTGCCCATGAGAACTGCTCCAGCCATCATATTCTCATGCATCAGTTACTGGATGATTGGTAAAGAATTGATGCTTTCATTGAACCTGTCATCTTCCAACACATTTGATTTCTGACTTAGCCAGAGTTTAGTTCCTGTATCTCTTAACATGAAACTAATTGAACCTTCAACTGATTTAAGTGCTTGGCATCATAACTTCAGAGGACTCTGGGGCAGGGGCAGAGACACCAGCAATCTAAGACAGGGACCTGCTTGTCCACATCTTTCGGTAATGCTCTTTGGGCCTTTGGAGCATGCACAGTTCCTGCCAACTCCAAACTTGGTCTTTCTTCCTGCTTTCCCTGTTTTGTATAGGAGTCCACGGGTACCTCTCTGGGATTCATAATGTGGTTGTTTACTGGACGCTTTCCTTTCTGTTTTTTGACAGGATACCAAGCTGTTGCTGGCCGGTTCTTCTTCTTCATGCTGACCCTGGTACTGGTGTCCTACACTGCCACGGCCATGTCTCTGGCTATCAGTGCTGGGATGGACGTCGTGGCTGTGGCCAATCTGCTCATCACTGTTTGTTTTGTCCTGATGCTTGTAAGTATATAAGGGGGTGTGTGCTCCTTTGGTGGAGGTGAGGAAGCAGCTGAGACAGGCTGAGAGGACTGGGTTGAGCCAGCCCTAAGCAGGCTGAGAATCCACAGTCCAGTAGCATGTCAGCCCCATGCCTGTGATTTTATTGTCACTACAGTCAAAGATGTACTTCTGCCAACTTGTAATCCAAGCGTCAAGTCATCGCTCAGGTGCAATTTAGTAGGTATGATGCCACCAGACCTTTGCAAACATTGTGCCCCAAAAAAGTGTTTTGTTTTTTTTTTAAATTGTCCTTAGAAAAATTGATTAAAAAAAAAAATCTTGCATTTCCAGTATTAGAAATCTAAGTGATCAACTGGATCATTTAAAAGGAAAAAATCTTGAAATAAACTTTAGATTGATGGATTGATTTTATTGCATTAATTTTTGTTGCCCAGTGGGATTAGCAGGAGCATACCCTGTCTTTACTTTAATTCAGTATTGCCCTTGGGTTCGAGAAATTACTTCAATACTCTTCTTCAAGGACTTCTAAGGAAGAGAGTAAGTGAGAGAGAAAGAAATTTTGACTACTCATAGATGAGGGATGTGAATTCTTTTTCAGAGAGGTAATGTAAGTGATGAAACTTCTTGACCGTGAGGCCTACCAAGTTACCTTAGAGTAAAAAGTACCTTCTGTCAGGTGATTCCTGCTAGCTGCCTGTATATATTCTGAGCCCACAGCGCATCCCTTATTCTTTGATTTGCAACTTAACCTGCTTTTGCAATAAGCTAAGTGATAACGTATCACTTCAAATGCTTGCTGTGGGTGAGAAGTGTGTGTAGTGAAGGGCAGTTAATGTACATTGACTTAAGTCACAGTATATAAGGAATGGCACATGCACATCCTGAAAGAGAGCCGGGTGAGCACAAAAACACTTGTGATAAAGCACAACCTGAAGCGTCATGTTTAGCTATTAGGTCCAATTGTGCTAAGAAGTAAAGGAGCAAACCTTGTTCCAGCCAGGAGAGAGCACACATGTAGGTCAGAGGAGAAAGCTGGAACAGTAACAGCCCTTAAGGCTCCCTATGGTTTCCTTCTTGTTTCTCCACTTCCTCATCTCCCAGTCATCCTTCTTTAACCTCTGGCTAGCTCTACCGTAGGACACAGTCCTCCAGAGTAAGAAGTTGTTAGCATGCATGCTTGTTAGCTGACATGTGGATGTAGAAAACCTTTCTGACCTCTTTGCAAGCCATTTAACTGGAGTACTTGGGTGTTGCTGTTGGGCCAGCTGGCTGGGACTGCTGCAAGGTTTGAACCTCATGCCTGTAGGCACAGGCATAGCAGCAGCAGGAGGTCCGTCTTCCCAGCGCGCCTCTGCTGGGCAACTGCAGTATCTGTGCAGGAATGGCACTGTTTGCAGTAAACAGAGCTTGTGACTCATTAGCCTCTTCTGTTCTATTTCAGATTTTTTCAGGCCTCTTGGTAAACCTCCCTTCTGTAATGGGCTGGCTGAACTGGCTTAAGTACTTCAGCATCCCCCGATATGGCCTCACTGTGAGTAGAAAGTAGCATCGGTCTTCTGTGTGTAATGTAGACACACTGCTGCTTCTTGGAGAGGTTTTGAGTATAAATGAAATTCTCTTAAAAGTCAGATTTGATTTCTTTCCTTGCATGAACATGGTGAAAGAAGAACAAACTAGCCAACCTCAAAAAGGAAGCAAAAGTTAATCTCTGCGTGAGAGGTGGAAGTCTCAGAGACTGAACAAATCCTTTGCGCCACAAAATTAGTGCCGCTTGGACAACGGCAGAATGAGCTGTCCAGTGAGGAACTAATTCCTAGCCTGAGTAGTTGATCCCTGTGGTTTAGAATAAAGTCAAATATTGTATGGCCTCTCCAGAGACTGCTGTTTGGGTGGTCAGTCTGAGGTTAATGACTGTCCAACTGGTTAAAGTACCATAATGACTGAGTGTCTCAGTCTTCAGTGTGGCTTCCTCTGAAGTGAAATGTGACTTACCGCCATTTCTGAAGAATAAGAAGCTGGTGTACCAGAAAGCTGAGGGTGCAGCTGCTTGAAGCACAGTAACTAGACATAGCAGGTCGCCCACTGGTCACAAGTGGGAGTTGTGCTTCCATCTCCTGTCTTCATCCTGGCCAAGCCTATTTGAGAGGAATAGTTTCCTACCTTTGTGTAAAAATGAGTGAAATGAATGCCGGAGCTGGTGCAGGGTGGTGTGGGCCGGACCATGTTGACTGGCAGTGGAAGAGAAAGGTAGGATCAGGGAGGGGGGGAGATGTGTGAGACCTCCCCTGTTTGGATATCACTGACATATTTTCAGTGTTGCTGAATATGGAAGTGTCCCTTGAGATTGCAGTTAGCCCAGGATGCCAGTGCAAGGGAACCCTTCCCCTCTTGCCTTGGCTGACTGTGCCATCTGCTTCAGTGTGCTGGTGCTGGAGTGTTCGCATGCAGCCACGTGGTTTTCTGGGTTAGTAGATTGACCCGGATGAAAGTAGATGAACAGGAACTTGTAGCTGGCAAGACAGAAACCCATGGCTAAATCACTGAAATGTAACTTTGGAGCCAAAGACTCAGACACCAAACCATCCTGCATGTAGAACTTGGAGCAGTTCCTCAGAAAGGCAGTGATTAAGAGCCTCAAAATAAAAAGGAACATAAACATACGATTCCAAGAGTGGTGATACGTGTCTTCTAATTATCAAGTTCCTTTGGGGTGTTTCAGTTTTAGCACCCCAAATCACTAACTCTGTAAAAATCTGATGTCTGCCTCTTCCCCTAGGCTCTTCAAGTGAATGAGTTCAGAGATCTTTACTTCTGTGGTGAGAATAATCCAAATGTTACAGTGCCTGTGGGAGATTCAGGCAGTTGTCCCCCTGATGTTTCAGGAGAAATGTAAGTCTCTAACTCATGGTGGTTCTTGGGCCTGAATTGTGATGGCTTGCCTGAAGAGAAGTCTGACCGTTTCAAATGTTTATATTGTTCATAGAATAACCACTCACAGACCAGTCTCAAGAATATGTCCCAAAATAATGTATTCTAGGATTATATAGTAAAACTTCACAATTACCCAAGAGTGAAATAGGGATGACACTTTCCTCCTAAAAATAGGCAGATGAGCTAAATTAAATTTTGTTTTTGATGACCTAGCCCTGGCTTATCAGTTTTCTTAAACAAACCCAGGGTTACTTAGCAATGGAAATGCAACGTGTGGACAGCTGCAAAGTTGTTGGGAAGCAGTAGACCTGTGATCAGAAACATGCGGGCTGCTCAGAGCTTGTTTGTACATATTAACCTCCCTGCAGAGACAGAAGAGAGCCAAGGTATCTATCTCCCACTGCTACTGCCCCATTTGAAATACTCTTGACTATTGATACCTTAAGTTGTAGCAATGCAAGTATTTCGTGACACATGCTAGAGGGCTAGCGAACTGAGCTTATTGCAGGGAACAGTGCTAGAGCACTGTTTCCACAGCTTTTGGACCGCAAACTCCTTCTATGGACCTCCAATGGTTGCTGTGTGAAACTAATGCTTTTGTACTTACCACGGTTTAATGTGGTTCTGAGTTTTACTCATAAATTACCAGCTATCTATAAACAACGATGAGGATACTACTGAAAAATTATGAGAACCAGAGATCTAGATTTGTCCCTTAAGCTTTTTTTAGTGATAAGTTATGAAGTTACTCTATTTCTGTCACCTGTTTTGCAGAGTTGAGGGTAGAAAAATCTTCATGGAACAGGAATAAAAGTAACTACCTGAAGACTTGCACCACATAGTAATACTAACTTCTGCCCCATGCTTTTCTGCAGGTGTTCTGGTGAAGCATACCTGTGCAGCCAAGGAATTGCACTTACCAACTGGGCAATGTGGGAGAACATAGTGGCTCTCATCTGCATGACTGTTATCTTCCTTATCATTGCCTATGCAAAACTCCGGTTTATGAGAAAGTTCACATAGATTCCTGCGATGCCTTGCTCTGCAGCTTCTCCGGTCTTAAAACTGCAAAGCTTGTTAGGGCCTACTAGAGATTGCCAAAAGATTTCAGCTGACTTTACTGGACTTCAGATGGAAATCCTGTCCCCTTGTTTCTGGAGCATGATCTCCACATGGTTGTATGATTTTGGTTTTTAAGAAGAAATGCATTAGTGTATATTGCATAAGTGATTTTTTTGGTAATAATTCTCATAATTCCTTAGGTACATATCAAACTATATATTGTAAAGCATTATTCTGCTGTGGCCAACTTATACAGGAAATGTTCAAAGGGAAACATTTTCCTTTGAACATGTGAGCTTCTCCATCACAAATGGTATAAGGTGATGATGGCATTTATGCATTTATATGTTGCCCCTTGTTAGTGCCTGTCACATCTGAGGAGAGCCAGGGACCATTCGCAGCGTGTTGGAGATGCATTTGAGTTTGAAGTCAGTACGGGGAATGAGTGCTCCTTGCCAAGCAAGAACAGTTATACTTCTAGTAGCTTCTCCATGGAAGCTACTTGCAGAAACAACTTTTGCTTGATTAACAACTAAACAGTAGTGGTGTAAGACATCTCATCTAAGAAGACTGGGAAATATATACTGTTGTACTGTAAAAAAAAAACCAAAACAAAGCAAAAAACCAAACACAACCCCCCAAAAAACCACCAACAGCAAAAAATACATTTACTACTTAAGAGGAGGGGAGGAAATTCCCTTTCTTTTTTCTTTATTTAAATAAAAATTTGTATATGTAGCAATGGCAGATGTTTTTAACAGACTTAATGCTTAGCTGCACCATCTATATATAAGGCTACTTACACTATGGACTGAAAAAAACCCATGTAGACACTGCTGTGGCAACTACAGCAATGCTTACCACAGTCACCACAGGACAGACTGTAGCGTGCCAGCAGTTGTCCCCTGACCACATCACGAGCAAAAGCAGAGCTGCTTTTAAGCTGCATTAAGACCCTCAGATGCAAGCGGACCAGCTAAGCCAAAGGAAAACATCCTCAAACACAAGGCTGGAGAGCTCGCTTGTGAGGGCCGGGCTAGCAGCAGCCCTTGAAACTGGCCTGCAGTGTGAAGGGGCTTCTGTTGCTCCTGCAATAAATGGTTCAGTCGTGGTGTTACGGAAATACTCAAACTGACGGCGCAGCCGCCCCGGGCGCAATGCGTGCTCTTTCTGTGCTGCTTCGCTGCCTTTTACAGCTGGTAAACAGTAAACTCGCGCCACGTTTTACATCTCGGTATTCGTCCTTCTCCTCCTGCCGTGACGAAGGCTGTTTGTTCTTGCTTGTTCCCGCGGCTGAAGCTGTCACCCATCGCACACCTGCTGTACGCGGTAGCGGAGGCCTCCCCTCACGACGCGGCCAAAAGCCGCGGGGGTGCCAGGTCCCGGATCTACGCGCGGGGCGGCCGTC